GACAGTATTTGACAAAACAAACGAGCTAAAATAAATAACAACGAGATTGTGAACCCCCCCTTAGAGGAAACGACAATTTTCTTCAGTGTCATTCAAATTAATTTTCACAAGACAAAAAACGCAGGAGTGTATCGGAAATTTTGGCCAAAATCATCCGAGCAAGCAAATTTTTTTTAAAAACCCAAAAACCAAAAAAAACCTTTTTCCCGTACGAGCCCCCTGACTTAACTACTCTCTCTTTAAAAAAAAAAAAAAAAAATTCTTAAAAAAAAAGAGAATCTTTTCCTAGGTTATACACCAAAAGTACAAAATTTGATAAAAAACTTACAAAATTAACTCATGAAGTTAGCATCTTCGATTTTTAGCATGGGCGATTTCGCCCCTTTGGGGCCTACTTTCGGCCAATTCTTTATTCCAGTCGACTAAAATCCTAGCTTTTTTTTGCTAGAAACCATTTGTTCTTTTGACTAGTACAAGAAACCCCCCCATTTTGATTTCAACTACCTAATAAAGGGGCAAAAATTTGGCAAGTTCCCAAATTTCACAAAAATTTTCCAAAATGCCAATTTCAAAATAGGGCCAGAATAAACAAGGCAGATATTCCGGGGCATAAAATTTAAACTTTTTCTTTTTCATTAGTCCTTTCCCAGGCCCCTCTTGTATTACTGCTGTTTTCCTTTTTAAATTTTTTTATTCCACAAAAAATAGGAGATTTATTGTTTATGCAGATACACATTTTAAAGTAATTGTATAAAAAAATTCAACTCATTCAGACTGCGCATTAAACGGCCATTTGGGGAACTTAGGGGGATGTGACATCATTTGTTTATTCTTAGCATTGGCAAAATCGCACTTTGACTAAATTTTTAAGGTTTTTTTCTAGTGAAAACCAACAAAACCCACTGCCATTTTCTGTAATTATCTTCCTTTCTATCAAATGAGACCAAGAAAATGAAATACAAACAAAAAATCCATATGAAATGCACTGCAAAGTTGCTTTTTTAAAAACCCAAAAACACAGTAGGATTTTTTTTCCGTTATGTACTGCGTGCCGCAGGATTTTTTTTATCTCCCACACTGACCACGCAGCCCCCTTCTTTCATAGTTTTTCCACCAGCTTTTTTCCCCACCATCTTGAAGGGAAGAATTTTGCCATAGAATAGGGGACCGACACTGGCCCCAAAGTTGAATTTTAAAGGGGCCCGACACGAAAGGGAAAACCCAAAGATAAGGGTGAAAATTTTAAATTAATATTTCCATGCTTTTTTTTAACAAAAAATGGAAATAAAATGCCAAAACATTTATTTTTGTTTTTAGGATACTCACTAAAGCATTAAAAACCCGGGTTTCTTTTTTCAACTACTTGGGTTAATGGTTCTTCACTAGACTGATGTCGTGGGTTTTTTTGCAATGCCAATTATACAAAGAAAAGCTGGATTGAAACCCTGTAGGTAATGTTTTAATACCAAATAAACAATGATTTTTCCCGATCACACCTTTCTCTTTTTGTTAATAAAAATTAAAAAAAAAAAAGATCAATAATTTAGCGTTTTGGTGATTTTCAGGTCATGTTTTCCCCTTTTAGAAAAAAAAAAGGTGGGGACCCCGGGGGTCAGCAAGTGTTTTTGCTCCCTGAAAATTTGTGCCCAAAATTTCCCCTTTGTAAATTTTTGATAATATAAAGTTTTTTTGAAAAATAAAATTACAAAAAAAAAAACAATTTACTTTGTTTTGTTCCGTTCCCCCGTACAACAAAATTTTGGGGGTTGAGTTTAGGTTCGCAAAACACCTGGAAAAAATTTTTCTACCTATTTGAAATAAAAAAATTAAAAACAAAAAGAAAAGCAAAATACATAAATAAATTTAAAATTCCTAATATCATCAAAAAAACAGGGAAATTGGTTTCGTTAATTATTGTGACTTGTTTTCGTTGTTCAGAAAAAAATTTGCTTTTATTTTGGTTTTCGGTTTTCACCGAAAAAAAGAATGGTGTAATGCCAAGAAAAAAGAAGCCCACAATTCAAGCTTTAAAAAAATCTGACTTTTTTGTGCATTTTTTGGAATTTTTTTGAAAATTTGAGTTTTGGTAAAATTTTTTTTTTGGAGAAAAAAGCCTCATGGGCAAAGAAGGAAAAGATATGAAACAAAAAGAAAAGTTTTAAAAAAAAGATGCTGAAAAAGGGGTTTTAAAAAAAAAGTCTTAGAAAGTATGAAGGGAGGCTCCGAGTGGCTGATTTTAGCAACTTTCTGATAAATCAAAATCTACCATTTGCATGATACTGAATAATGGAAAAAAATAAAACACTGATTTTGCAAAAAGGGCAAAATGATTCAAAGCAAAGGCCACAAATTAAAAGGGAGGTTGAAAACTTTTTTGATTTGGGTAAAAAAAAAAGTTACACAGTGATAGTGTTTTAGAGGCCATTATTTGAGAAAAAGCGAAGCAGTTGCATGATGACCTGGGGGAAAAAAAAAAAGAAAAAAAAAAAAAAAAAGAACGTGCCAAAACCCAATCCTTCAAGGATAGTAGGGGTTGGTTTGATAATTTTAAGAAAAGAAGTGGCATTCACAGTGTGGCTAGGCATGGGGAGGCTGCCAATGCTGACAAAGTGGCTGTTGAAAAGTATGTTACTGAATTCCAAGAGTACATAGAGGCTGAGGGATTTGTCCCCCAACAAGTGTTTATTTGTGACGAGACAGGCCTCTACTGGAAGAAAATGCCCAAGAGGACCTACATAACTGAAGAGGAAAGGTCAATGCCAGAACACAAGTCAATAAAAGACAAGCTCACTCTGTAGTAATGTAAGTGGGGACTTGAAATTGAAGCCCTTATTTGTTTATCATTCTGAAAATCAATGAGTTTTTAAGAAAAACAATATTAAGAAAAACAAATTGGCAGTAATGTGGAGGGCCAACACGAAAGCTTGAGTAACAAGACAATTTTTTATTTTGTGAGTTCATGAGGTATTTGCTCCCACTGTCAAAAAGTACCTCATTCCAAAACAATTGCTGCTCAGGGCCCTTGTACATATGGATAATGCTCCTGCTCACCTTCCCTTGAAAAACAAGTTGCTGGAGTAGTTCAGTTTTATAACTGTGAAGTTCTTGCCTACTAACACAACTCCTCTCATCCACCCCATAGACCAGCAGGTCATTTCTAACTTCAAGAAACTACACCAAAGCACTTTTTGAAAGATGCTTTTGAAATCACTTCAGAAAAAAATTTAACCCTCAGGGAGTTCTGGAAGTACCATTTCAATATACTCATCTGCTTGAGGCTTATAGACAAAGCCTGGGGAATGTGTCTTCCAGGACCATGCAGTCAGCATGGAAGAAATTGTGGTCTGACTTTGTGGCAGCCAGGGATTTTGAAGGCTTTGAAGATGAGCCTGAGCCAGTAGAGGATACTGTGTCCCTGGGGTAGACCTTGGGTCTAGAAATGACTGAAGATGATGTGGAGGAGTTGGTGGAGGAGCATAGAACTGAATTCACCATAGAAGAACTTGTAGACCTTCAGAACGAGCAGTAACAGACTGCAAAGGAGGAGCTGTCATCAGAGGAAGAGAAGGGAAGGGATGATGTGCCCATTGCACTTGTCAAGGAAATGTGTGGTAAATGGCATGAAGTGCAGGAGTTTGCTGAAAAATACCATCCAGACAAAGCAGAGGCCATCTGTCCCTCTAACATGTACAATGACAGTGTAATGTCTTGATTCAGATACATGTTAAAACAAAGCCTGAAACAAACCTCACTGGACAGATTTTAGTGAGACAAAGAACCAGTGAGCCAGAATAAGGTGTTAGTGGTGAAAAAGAGACAAAGAAAAGAAACAACACCAGAAGGACATTTGACTAACATAATAGAAAGTGACTCCCTTCCAAGCAGTAACATACCCCCCTCCACTTCTCTACCTCCTGCTTCCAGTATACCATTAACTCTCCTCTGACATGTAAGAAGCAGTTAAATTTTCATTTACTGTACAGTATTTCATTTAGTTTCTCTTAGTATTCATTTTTACAGTTTTATGTAGTAGTTAGTATATATATTTTTAATAAATTATTATATTCTCATTTGGGGTCTGAAATAAATTAATTCTATATTCATTATTCTTTATGCGAAAAATTGCTTTGGCTGTCGTCCATTTTTGTTGTCAAATCGACACCTGGAACAAATTAAATTTGACAACTGAGGTTCCACTGTAACTAGTGGTACCATTTGCACAAAAAATAACTTTATTCGATTAATTTAACCAAATATTCTGCGTTTACAAGTACTGGTTAAGAATAAGAGGCATGGATAACACAGAATGGGTATGGACAAGTGTATTGATAGAAATTTTTTTTAAGATTTACTGCATATGTATATGCTGAATGGAATAAGTTACGAAGAATCACCAAGTGTAGTGAACACTTGTCAACAGAATGAGGAAATTAACATTTGAACAAAAACATAAAGGTTGATCTGTACATTATATTTTGATCTTAGTCTGAGATCTCAATCAGCAGTGCTGATGAAGATACTACTCTGATATTGAAATATACAGATGAACTTGCTATCTGCCTTCATTAATATGTTACAGGTACTTATAAAATATATTTGTACATGCATGATAGAGGTTTCTTGGATGTTTTTATTTTCAACAAACCAGCCATATCCCACTGAGGCAGGGTGACCTAAAAAGAAAAACGGAAGTTTCTCTTTTTAAATTTAGTAATGTTTACAGGAGAAAGGGTTACTAGCTCCTTGCTCCTGGCATTTTAGTAGCCTCTTACAATACGCATGGCTAACGGAGGAAGAATTTTTTTCCACTTCCTCACAGAGATAAGAGGAAATAAAGAAGAACAAGAACTATTAAGAAAATAGAAGAAAACGCAGATGGGCGTGTTTGTGAGTATATATAAGCATGTACATGCATGTGTAGTGTGACCTAAGTGTCAGTAGTTAAACATTTATCTGGTAAAGAAAATAAAATCACAATAGAATATTTTTTAAAGAGTCAGTTTTAGAGCTGTAGTCTAACCTGTGAGGAAATTTGAACAGTGGTATAGTAGCATCTGCATCTGCTCTTCTGCAGCATCAAATCCAATAAGAATATTGATAAAGTCAAAGCCATAATCACCCTGCATTTTTCTGTATAATCCTCTGACCAAACTGCATAAAGTCTGCGGGTAAAAAAGAAGTGTGAGGATAAACACTTAATAGAAAAAAAATATAAAATGACAGTTGAAGCAAGTACTGTACTTAACTCATAAAACACTGAAGTATCCATGAATAGGAAGGATACCAAAAATATTTTGCGGCCATATTAAAACTGGAATGCACTTGGAGGTAGCCATACTAATAAAAGGCCTTCATAAATCAATACTGATTTACAAGACATCAGATTTGTCTGTGACTTCAAATCATCTTTATATACCATTAGGCTCAAAGAACAGAAAATAACCCTTTCCTTATAGGAAAAAGTTCTAAAGGTACAGAATCTCCGAAGTTGTTGAAGTATCGTCTTCCCTTACCATCCTTTTATTTCTATATTATGCAGAAAATTCGGAGTGTGGAAATTAGGTGGTGTGGAGTTAATAAAAGTATTAGTCAAGAGGGCTGAAGAGGGGTTGTTGAGGTGGTTTGGTCATTTAGAGAGAATGGATCAAAGTAGAATGACATGGAAAGCATATAAATCTGTAGGGTAAGGAAGGTGGGGTAGGGGTCGTCCTCGAAAAAGTTGGACGGAGGGGGTAAAGGAGGTTTTGTGGGCAAGGGGCTTGGACTTCCAGTAAGTGTGCGTGAGCGTGTTAGATGGGAGTGAATGGAGACGAATGGTTTTTGGGACCTGACGAGCTGTTGGAGTGTGAGCAGGGTAATATTTAGTTAAGAGATTCAGGGAAACCAGTTATTTTTATACAGCCCGACTTGAGTACTGGAAATGGGAAGTACAATGCCTGCACTTTAAAGGAGGGGTTTGGGATATTGGTAATTTGGAGGGATATGTTATATATCTTTATACAGTGGACCCCCCGCATACCGTTGGCATCACATAACGTTAAATCCGCATACCGATACATTTTATCGCTAAGATTTTGCCTCGCATACCGCTAAAAAACCCGCTCAACACTATTCGTCCGAGACGCGTCTAATGTGCGGCCTGAGCCAGCCTCACATGTTCCGCCGGTGGCATTGTTTACAAGCCAGCCTCCACGGTAACATCCAAGCATACAATCGGAACATTTCGTATTATTACAGCGTTTTTGGTGATTTTATCTGCAAAATAAGTGACCATGGGCCCCAAGAAAACTTCTAGTGCCAACCCTGTGGTAAAAAGGGTGAGAAATATTATTGAAATACTGTGGTACCATGGTCAACTGCTGATGCTGCTGCTGCTGTAGCACTGTCAGCTGCTGCTGCTGCTGCTGTACCACTGTCAGCTGCTGCTACTGCTGTAGTACCGTCTGCTGCTGCTGTAGCACCGTCTGCTGCTGCTGTAGCACTGTCAGCTGCTGCTGTAGCACCATCAGCTGCTGCTGCTGCTGTACCACCGTCAGCTGCTGCTGCTGCTGCTGCTGCTGTAGTACCGTCTGCTGCTGCTGTAGCACCATCTGCTGCTGCTGCTGCACTGTCAGCTGCTTCTGCTGCTGCTGCACTGTCAGCTGCTTCTGCTGCTGCTGTAGCACTGTCAGCTGCTGTTGCTGTAGCACCATCAGCTGCTGCTGCTGTACCACCATCAGCTGCTGCTGTAGTACCGTCTGCTGCTGCTGTAGCACCGTCTGCTGCTGCTGTAGCACTGTCAGCTGCTGCTGTAGCACTGTCAGCTGCTGCTGCTGCTGCTGCTGTAGCACTGTCAGCTGCTGCTGCTGCTGTAGCATCGTTGCTGGTGTGGCTTATTGAGAATACCAAGAAACAATTAACCCCAGAGGGTTAGCCACCAAGGATAACCAAAAAAATTCAGTGTCATCGAAGACTAACTTATTTCCATTGAGGTCCTTAATCTTGTCTCCCAGGATGCAACTCACACCAGTCGACTAACACCCAGGTGAACAGGGAAAAATGCCTGGAACTAGTGCTCGTATTGGTGAATTTAAAGCCAGCAGAGGTTGGTTTGAGAGATTTAAGAATCGTAGTGGCATACACAGTGTGATAAGGCCTGTTCTGGAAGAAAATGCCAAACAGGACCTACAGTACTCAGGAGGAAAAGGCACTCCCAGAACACAGTGTCTCATCAGTCATTGCTGCATCTTCAATAAAGGTAAGTGTCATTTATTCTTCATTTAGTAGAGTAGTACATGCACAATATATATTGTGCATGTACTACTCTACTATTGTGCATGTATCCTTCTCTTTGTGTGTAGGAAAATGTATATTTCATGTGGTAAAAATTTTTTTTTCATACTTTTGGGTGTCTTGCACGGATTAATTTGATTTCCATTATTTCTTATGGGGAAAATTCATTCGCATAACGATAATTTCGCATAACAATGAGCTCTCAGGAACGGATTAATATCGTTATGCGGGGGTCCACTGTATATGCTTCTGAACTGTTGTATGTGGGCACCTCTACGAAAACAGTGATTATGTATGAGTGAGGTGAAAGTGTTGAATGATGAAAGTAATTTCTTTTTGGGGATTTTTTCTTTTTGGGTCACCCTGCCTTGGTGGGAGACGGCCGGCTTATTGAAAAAAAAAAAAGTGTAATTATTCATAGTTTTAACCCTCTGACTGTTTCGGTCGTACATATACATCTTACGAGCCACCCTATTTGACGTATATACATGTATACATGTACTCAAAAATTCAAGCGGCTTCAAACCAAGCAGAAGAAAGCTGGTAGGCCTATATGTGAGATAATGGGTCTTTGTGGTCAGTGTGCACCATCTAAAAAAATCCAGCAGCACGCAGTGCATAATGAGAAAAAAAAAAACTTCAACCCTGTTTTTGGATTAAAACGCCGACTTTGTGGTGTATTTTCGTATAGTATTTACAGTTGTATTCTCGTTTCCTTGGTCTCATTTGATAAAATGGAAAATGTATTATAGAAATAGAGGTGATTTTGATTGGTTTTACTATGAAAAGAACCTTGAAATGGAGCTCAAATTAGGGGAAATGTTTGATTTTTGCTGATTTTCAAAAGTAAACAAATGATGTCATTGTCCAATAAATGTCCAACTAGCCATTCTGATATGCAGTCATGAATGGGATGACATTATTTATACAATTATTACAATATTGCAGTAGTCTGCATAACAGTAAATCTTCTATTTTTTGTTTGAATAAAAATGCAAAATAGAAAGCAAGAGTAATATCAGAGGGGCCTGGAGATGTGATTGATGAACAAAGAAAATGTTATTTTAGAGCCAGGAAAGTCTGCATTGTTCATTCTGGACCCTATTTTGAAATTGTCATATTTTTTATTTTTGTGAAATTGGCCAAATTGCAAATTTCTGACCATGTTATTGCGTAGTTGAAATTGGTAAATGGGCAGTTTCTTGTACTCAATCGACAGAACAAATGGAGTTCTAAAGAAATAGCTATGAGTTTAGTCGACTGGAACAATGGAATTAGCAGAAAGTAGGGCTCAAAGCGGGCAAAATCGCCAATTCATAAATATCACCGAGGTCACTAACTTCGGAGCGTAATTCCGTAAATTTTCCATCAAATTTTGTTCTTTTGGCATCATTACTATTGGGAAAAGATTCTTAAATCACTTCATAAGAAATTTTTTTTTTTTTTTTCATAAATTTTTCGACACCAGGAGACACCTCAGGATTTGGGGTTGCGACAGTCAAAGGGTTAATGGATAAAGACAAAATGAGGATTATTTAAAATTTTTGTAACATTTTTCTTCTTTCAACAAACCAGTCATATCCCACTGAAGCAGGTTGGCCCAAAAAGAAAAAGAAAAGTTTCTCTTTTTAACTTTAGTAATGTATACAGAAGGGGTTACTAGCCCCTTGTCCCTGGCATGTTAGTCGCCTCTTACGGAATGCATGGCTTACGAAGGAGGAATTCGGTTCCACTTCCTTCAATTTGTCACAGGTAGGCTGTGTATCTGAGATGCAGTATGGATTCCCTTCCTGAATCACCACACTGAGTAGTAACAAGAAACTGTTTGCTTAGGGGTTCTTGTATTTCCTAGTATCACCTCTCACTTGCTTAGGAACTTGAGGACACATTTCTTCTAAATTTGAGGGCCTCTGAACATATGGAGGTGAAGCTATAATGATGCATAAGTTCTCCAAGTATTTGATAGTTTTGTGGGTGTCCTTGAAGCAATTATTACCACCATCACTTCCAAATTTAATGTGTTGGAGATAGGTGTTAACAAGAGTTTTGAATTATGTATATACAGTGTATAGATAAGTGGAGGCATCAAGTAGATTAGGATTTTTTAAAGGAGAGATTAGTTTGCATGTTGTCCGATGCTGAAATCTTTAATTGGCACTTTAAAGGAAATCTGAAAGCACTATGATGTTTGGGCAATCCATATCGTGTCTGGTTGCCCCACACAGCAGTATAACATAGTCACTGCACCCGCTTTAAAGATTAAATAAGGTAGATACCCAACACTCATATGCTAGTGGCTGACTACATACTGAATGAGTCATCATGGAACTGAGACCCACATTAGTAGTAATTTTCCTAGCTCAAATGTCCATAAAATGAGACTTCTCCAAAATTATGAAAGCAACAAAATTGTATGAGGAGTACTGAGGGGAGAGCTCGCTTTCCACAACTGAGTGGCTTTGGTAATGCATTCTTGTTAAGAAAGGTTGAGGCAGTGGTACCTGGAGATCCTTACACAAATTTATTCCTTTCCCAATATTGTTAGGCCTTAATTCATGTGGAGTAATTAACACAATTTTACTTTATCCACACTGGGATATTACAAGCCATTTGGGAAAAAATATCCTCAATCTGCCTACTTTCGATACATAATTCATAACTACCTAATCTTGTCTAAATTCAACCACACCTTGCTAAAATATTGGGCATCATAAATAAACCATAATCACATACTAACTAAAAGATGCTCTGGCCTGTTCTGGACAATTATCATGTTGCAACATGGTAATGATCCAGGAAGAACTGAAACATCTATTAGCTTAATCTCTAATTTGTGGGTTAGTTGTAAAACATTAATCACTTACCAAAAGAGCATTGACTACACGTATGTGATGTTCATGGGAAAGAACCTGAACACACTTGGCAAAGAGTGTGTTGATATTTTCCTTCAGTCCCAGGAGCTGGTCAGATGTGCACCTGCTGATTTCACCTTCTAATGCTGACATTTTTGGCTAATGGACACACACAAAATGCAAGATTATTAAAAAACTATATATACTGTATACAGGATTTAATATTTTTACTGTATGGTAAATTCACAGGAAGGTTAAAATCTGTAGGGGTACTAGAAGGTCATAAGGAACTTGTGCAGTGAGAGGTAACCAGGTTTATTCTAAGAAAGGGCAGGGAAGCTCCAATTTTCTGGATCAAGAGCCCTTTACTATCATCATGTAATTGTATTACTGGATGGATTTTCCAACACTAAACTATATTCTAATACTGTAGTCATAATAATACACAATATTCACTAACACGCAAAATTCAGGAGTCATTCAGCATTTCAGTAATCATAATATCAAACATTTTATTTGGCAAACTATGCAGAAAAACTTTATAAAGAAACTGAAAATTTACTGAATTTGTTTTATATAGAATGTACCTTTAGTAAAAACAGATCCTCCCAAAATCGAGGGTTGTTGATGCAAGGATCTGTGCCATGAAATAAATCCTCATACATTTGAACAACCTTTTCTTTCAAATGTCGCCGGACACCGCCTGGCTTTAATTTACTCCCCATTGTGAATGCCAAGCCTTTATTGCTCGTAACTGAGTACGTATCTGTAGATAAAGGAAAATTGTGGTATTAATATAAACAATAATGTTCTAACAGCACCAAATACAGATAATGAAATATGTACAGTATGCCACACTGAAAATGCACATTATTTCAACTCATACTATAAAATTGCTCCTTTATAATTAGCAAGTAACTTGGCAGTTGCATCAAATTATTCATACTCCCAATGTTTTAATTACGTTGTTTCATGCAATATTCCCAAATATTACACCAACCTTAATTTTGAGTGTTTGAAATAAAAAAAGTTGGTACAGTACTGTAATCTTAAAATATGTATATTAATTATATACTAAACAGAATACTCTTTTTCAGAACATAATGACTTAACCTGACCTAAGCTGTTTTCCCTCATCTCCCTATGTTCTGACCTGACTTCTGGATTCCCTGCCTTTTTCTTTCTCACTTGTGACTTGATAATTGTCCAGGCTATGTCATCTAGAGTCAATTTCAAATATGTGGGGTCAGCTGTGAAAGGATCCACCTACAGTACTTGCAAACTGACAAAAGGCTTAACTGAAATGGGAAACAAATTGCTAAATATTATTATGAAATTGCAACCTTTGTCAATATAGCATGGAGGCTCACTCATATAAACATCCAACCCCTATTTAAAGCTACCCAAAGTTCTCTCCTCAATGATGCTACCTGGGGGTTAGTTCCACTCATCTACAACTCTACTGCTAAACCAGTATTTCCCTACACCCTTTCAATATATAAATTTGTCCAACTTAAATTTACTGCTGCAAGTCCTGTCATGGTTAGATATTTTCAATATACTATTTATATCCCCTTTATTTATGTCTGTTTTCCATTTGTACACTTTATACACTTTTTAATTCTCTCTCCATACAGTGCCTTCTGTAAATTTTCCAGCACATTTACGTTCTTTCAGAAATATCGAGACCAGAATTAGTAGAACAATTCAAATGAGGCCTTACAAAAGATATGTAAGTTGATATGTAGTCAAATTTGAGGGCACTGTTATGCACTGTTTTCTTGCCTTTAAATTTCAGCTAATCAGAACTCTTCAATCTTTTTTGCACTCGCTTTAACTAAGATCTACATTAGCTAATAAGTACTATAGTTGTTTCCTAGGTTTAGAATCTTGCACTTGTCTGCATTGACCTACATCTGCATCTTCTCCAACCACAACGTCAAGCTATCCAGGTCATCCTGGATAGGTTGATGTTGTGCTTTTCAGTGTCCTCATCAAACTTATGTTGCTATTTATTTCATCTTTGTTGTTTATGTAAATCGAGAACAATAAGGTTTCCAATAATGAGCCCTGTAGCACATAACTTGTAAGAGGTCATTCTCAATTCTCCACATTAATGGAAACTCTTTTGCCTACTGATTATGACTTGACCCGGATAATTTCTTCTCTTAATCAGTCTCCTGTGTAGAAGTTTATCAGTGGCCTAACTGAACTCCACATACACAATATCACATTCTTTATCCTTTTTTTTTTTTAACAAGTCGGCCGTCTCCCACCGAGGCAGGGTGACCCAAAAAGAAAGAAAATCCCCAAAAAGAAAATACTTTCATCATCATTCAACACTTTTACCTCACTCACACATAATCACTGTTTTTGCAAAGGTGCTCAGAACACAACAGTTTAGAAGCATATACATGTATGTATCAAGATACACAACATATCCCTCCAAACTGCTAATATCCCGAACCCCTCCTTTAGAGTGCAGGCATTGTACTTCCCATTTCCAGGACTCAGGTCCGGCTATATAAAAATAACCGGTTTCCCTGAATCCCTTCACTAAATATTACCCTGCTCACACTCCAACAGACTGTCAGGTCCCAAATACCATTCGTCTCAATTCACTCCTATCGAACACGCTCATGCACGCCTGCTGGAAGTCCAAGCCCCTCGCCCACAAAATCTCCCTTACCCCTTCCTTGCAACCTTTTCAAGGACGACCCCTACCCCGCCTTCCTTCCCCTACAGATTTATACGCTCTCCATGTCATTCTACTTTGATCCATTCTCTCTAAATGACCAAACCACCTCAACAACCCCTCTTCAGCCCTCTGACTAATACTTTTATTAACTCCACACCTCCTCCTAATTTCCACACTCCGAATTTTCTGCATAATATTTACACCACACATTGCCCTCAGACAGGACATCGCCACTGCCTCCAACCGCCTCCTCGCTGCTGCATTCACAACCCAAGCTTCACACCCATTTAAGAGTGTTGGTACTACTATACTTTCATACATTCCCTTCTTTGCCTCCATAGATAACGTTTTTTGTCTCCACATATACCTCAACGCACCACTCACCTTTTTTCCCTCATCAATTCTATGATTAACCTCATCCTTCATAAATCCATCCGCCGACACGTCAACTCCCAAGTATCTGAAAACATTCACTTCTTCCATACTCCTCCTCCCCAATTTGATATCCAATTTTTCTTTATCTAAATCATTTGATACCCTCATCACCTTACTCTTTTCTATGTTCACTTTCAACTTTCTACCTTTACACACACACCCAAACTCATTACCTGGAGTTTACCTGGAGAGAGTTCCGGGGGTCAACGCCCCCGCGGCCCGGTCTGTGACCAGGCCTCCTGGTGGATCAGAGCCTGATCAACCAGGCTGTTGCTGCTGGCTGCACGCAAACCAACGTACGAGCCACAGCCCGGCTGGTCAGGAACCGACTTTAGGTGCTTGTCCAGTGCCAGCTTGAAGACTGCCAGGGGTCTATTGGTAATCCCCCTTATGTATGCTGGGAGGCAGTTGAACAGTCTCGGGCCCCTGACACTTATTGTATGGTCTCTTAACGTGCTAGTGACACCCCTGCTTTTCATTGGGGGGATGCTGCATCGTCTGCCAAGTCTTTTGCTTTCGTAGTGAGTGATTTTCGTGTGCAAGTTCGGTACTAGTCCCTCTAGGATTTTCCAGGTGTATATAATCATGTATCTCTCCCGCCTGCGTTCCAGGGAATACAGGTTCAGGAACCTCAAGCGCTCCCAGTAATTGAGGTGTTTTATCTCCGTTATGCGCGCCGTGAAGGTTCTCTGTACATTTTCTAGGTCAGCAATTTCACCTGCCTTGAAAGGTGCTGTTAGTGTGCAGCAATATTCCAGCCTAGATAGAACAAGTGACCTGAAGAGTGTCATCATGGGCTTGGCCTCCCTAGTTTTGAAGGTTCTCATTATCCATCCTGTCATTTTTCTAGCAGATGCGATTGATACAATGTTATGGTCCTTGAAGGTGAGATCCTCCGACATGATCACTCCCAGGTCTTTGACGTTGGTGTTTCGCTCTATTTTGTGGCCAGAATTTGTTTTGTACTCTGATGAAGATTTAATTTCCTCGTGTTTACCACATCTGAGTTGTGATGAATGGTTTGAAAAACCGACAAGTTGAAGATTGAGACACTTATGCAGCATATGGGAATCTTTATTCAGGAAACGTTTCGCCACACAGTGGCTTCATCAGTCCAATACAAAGAGGAAGGCGTAAGGAGAGGAGGAGTATGAGGTAATCAGTCCCTCAACCTGGAGTCGATGTGTTCAGTCCATCATTCTACAAGATTGATGGACTGAACACATCGACTCCAGGTTGAGGGACTGATTACCTCATACTCCTCCTCTCCTTACGCCTTCCTCTTTGTATTGAACTGATGAAGCCACTGTGTGGCGAAACGTTTCCTGAATAAAGATTCCCATATGCTGCATACGTGTCCCATATCTGAGTTATTGAAATTTCTCATCGTTGAACTTCATATTGTTTTCTGCAGCCCACTGAAAGATTCGGTTGATGTCCGCCTGGAGCCTTGCAGTGTCTGCAATGGAAGACACTGTCATGTAGATTCGGGTGTCATCTGCAAAGGAAGACACGGTGCTGTGGCTGACATCCTTGTCTATGTCGGATATGAGGATGAGGAACAAGATGGGAGCGAGTACTGTGCCTTGTGGAACAGAGCTTTTCACCGTAGCTGCCTCGGACTTTACTTTGTTGACGACTACTCTCTGTGTTCTGTTAGTGAGGAAATAATAGATCCTTCGATCGACTTTTCCTGTTATTCCTTTAGCACGCATTTTGTGCGCTATTACGCCATGGTCACACTTGTCGAAGGCTTTTGCAAAGTCTGTATATATTACATCTGCATTCTTTTTATCTTCTAGTGCATTTAGGACCTTGTCGTAGTGATCCAATAGTTGAGACAGACAGGAGCGACCTGTTCTAAACCCATGTTGCCCTGGGTTGTGTAACTGATGGGTTTCTAGATGGGTGGTGATCTTGCTTCTTAGGACCCTTTCAAAGATTTTTATGATATGGGATGTTAGTGCTATCGGTCTGTAGTTCTTTGCTGTTGCTTTACTGCCCCCTTTGTGGAGTGGGGCTATGTCTGTTGTTTTTAGTAACTGTGGGACGACCCCCGTGTCCATGCTCCCTCTCCATAGGATGGAAAAGGCTCGTGATAGGGGCTTCTTGCAGTTCTTGATGAACACGGAGTTCCATGAGTCTGGCCCTGGGGCAGAGTGCACGGGCATGTCATTTATCGCCTGTTCGAAGTCATTTGGCATCAGGATAACATCGGATAGGCTTGTGTTAACCAAATTTTGTGGCTCTCTCATAAAAAATTCATTTTGATCTTCAACTCTCAGTCTGGTTAGCGGCTTGCTAAAAACTGAGTCATATTGGGACTTGAGTAGCTCACTCATTTCCTTGCTGTCATCTGTGTAGGACCCATCTTGTTTAAGTAGGGGCCCAATACATGTACTGGATGTTGTTCTCGACTTTGATTTGGCATAGGAGAAGAAATACTTTGGGTTTCTTTCCATTTCATTTATGGCTTTTAGTTCTTCCCGCGATTCCTGACTCCTATAAGATTCCTTTAGCTTGAGTTCGATGCTTGCTATTTCTCTGACCAGTGTCTCCCTACGCATTTCAGAAATATTGACCTCTTTTAGCCGCTCTGTTATTCTTTTCCGTCGCCTGTAAAGGGAGCGCCTGTCTCTTTCTATTTTACATCTACTCCTCTTTTTTCTTAGAGGAATAAGCCTTGTGCATACATCGAGTGCCACCAAGTTAATCTGTTCTAGGCATACGTTGGGGTCTGTGTTGCTTAGTATATCTTCCTAGCTTATATTGGTTAGGACTTGGTTTACTTGGTCCCACTTTATGTTTTTGTTATTGAAGTTGAATTTGGTGAATGCTCCCTCGTGACTAGTCTCATTATGTCTGTCTGGGGCTCCACGCATACATGTCTGAACCTCAATTATGTTGTGATCTGAGTATATTGTTTTTGATATGGTGACATTTCTTATCAGATCATCATTGTTAGTGAAGATGAGGTCTAGTGTATTCTCCAGTCTAGTAGGCTCTATTATTTGCTGGTTTAAATTGAATTTTGTGCAGAGATTTAAAAGCTCGTGTGAGTGTGAGTTTTCATCAGAGCTGCCTCCTGGTGTTATTACTGCAACAATATTATTTGCTATATTCCTCCATTTTAGGTGCCTTAAGTTGAAATCCCCCAGGAGCAAGATGTTGGGTGCAGGAGCTGGAAGATTTTCCAGACAGTGATCAATTTTAACAGCTGTTCCTGGAATTGCTGGGATGTTGCATCCGGAGGCTTGTAGACTACCACAATGACTAGGTTTTGGTTCTCGACCTTTACTGCTAAAACTTCCACTACATCATTTGAGGCATTTAGCAGTTCTGTGCAAACAAGTGACTCTGCAATGTACAGGCCAACCCCCCCCTTTTGCCTGTTCACTCTGTCACATCTGTATAGGTTGTAACCTGGGATCCATATTTCGTTGTCCAAGTGATCCTTTATGTGGGTCTCAGTGAAAGCCGCGAACATTGCCTTTGCCTCTGCAAGCAGTCCACGGATGAAAGGTATTTTGTTGTTTGTTGCTGGCTTTAGACCCTGTATATTTGCAAAGAAGAATGTCATCGGACTGGTGGTATTGTTGGTACTGGGGGGGGGGATTTTTTTCCGGCATTAGTATCTGTATCTGTTGGTTTGGAGTGGAGGCCATCGACTGTGGTTCCACTCCAGGAATGACTGGATTTGGTGTACGATTTCTGCCATTTCCTGCCAGTTTTTTTTCCTTCCTGGCACTAAAAAACCTCTCCCTCTTGAGTGGCTGTGGCTACCCAGGTTTTCCCATGGCCTGGATGTTTTGTATCTTTTTGTACCCTTTAGATGGTGTGCCTGGCAATTTAAGTTATAGCACAGTCTTTCCTGTACTGAAGAGGTACACATTTCAGGGTGAAAAAGCTTACAGGAAGGGAGTTTGCATTTTTCCTGTTGTCATATGGGCATGGCATTTTCTAGGGTGGTCATAGTTGCACGTCCCGTCTGTTTTTTCCAGATTTCCCATGTCTGCAGATACCAAGTGCATAGTATGTGCACAGGCTTGGTTTCCGTTTGCCTTGGGTTTCTGTGACTGTATTCCCTGTTGGTGCATGTTTCCCTGTCTTATTCCTATCCTCCCTAGCACCAACAATGGAGCTCCCACCAGTTGTTTTTGGTAATATATCCTCACTATAGCTAGTGGAGTCCTCTTGTTTGCTATTTCCTGTGGTATTTCTAGTTTGCAATATTGGTTTTATCTTATCTTTGACTACACTTGTTTCCCCACTACGGCTCCTGTCCCCTATGAGGTCATTTATATGTATTCCTTCCTGCGTATAATTCCCGACTACCTGGACAAAATCTCCAGCTTCACCATTACTGTCTCCCAGGACAGCACCTCCAGCTTCACCATTACTGTCTCCCAGGACAGCACCTCCAGCTTCACCAGTACTGTCTCCCAGGACAGCACCTCCAGCTTCACCATTACTGTCTCCCAGGACGGCACTATCAGCCCCACATTTTCTGACTACCAGGACATCACCTCCAGCCTTACAGTTTCTGACTACATGGCCAGTATCAAGGGCAGTACCATTCAGCCCAGACATTTTATGTTCCCATCTGTTGTAGAAAGCTTCCAGGTTGTCTATGAAAGCAGCTTTGATGTTATCCTCTTTTAATACCCTTGTGATTTTAGTCCACAGATTTTCCTCATTTGGGCATACCCAAAAACACTTCCCTGTTTTAATACTGCTTGTAGCTAGTTCTTGGATATCTGCACAAGGGGCGTGATGCCAATTTCCACAAAAATGACAATTTATCCATGTGGAAGCCCGTTTGTTTGATTGACTGCAGACTACACACAGCTTCATAATGATTTGAGTGGTTGATTTACTGTAATTCTACCAGCAACCTCTTGAATACTCTATTAATAACCTCCTTAAATGAAGCTCTAGCTATTTGTATTTCTATTTCTAACTAATTGGACAGCTTACCGTGTACGTTCCTGATTTATATTTATTGTTTGTGTTTGATAAGGGCGCCTACAACCCTATCCGTTTACAGTCTGCTTTATTGCCCAACGAATCCGTTTGAAACCAGTCAAGGGTTCGGACCATCAAGGGTTCGGACCAGTCGAGGGTTCGGACCAGTCGATCTGATCTGATCAGTGGGTCACTTATTTAAAACATACTAGTCGGTGATTTGGCTAACACATGAAGGATCTACTTGAAATTATCTACCCGAGTAATATGTGATTTGATTGATACAAAAGTATAACTTGCGTGTTGAAGAGCCGGTGATTTCTGGCAGCTCCTACAGTGACGAACGGTCGAGCCTCAACCCTTGTTTATCAATCGCTGTATCTAGCTTTTCTAGTTTTTTTTTTTTTCGTCTCCACCACAATAAATGCTATATTATCACTATAGTTGACTGGTGGAAATTTTGGAGGAAGGACTCCACTCCACTAAGTACCATTATAATACTGGTTAGTTGCTACTACAACACTGTATTCTGCTATTCACTGGTATCACTAGATTATATGCGAGTACACTAGCAGGCCAGAAAGATTATTAAAACAGCTGACCACTGACCACTAACCTTTGCAAATTTTCTTTAGAATCTCCCATAAGGACAGTATCATCAGCAGTATCATCACAGTATCATCTTGGTCTACTGTTTTAAATACCTAAGAGATAAGGTTAGTAAATTCTTAAGGCAAGACTCTTCCTTGTAAAACCGTGTCAAGATTTATTGATCAAAATATCTCTTTCAAGGTGGTTCAAATTAAGGCTCTCGAAACTCATGAAAGGTATGTCACTATTAAATTTATTTAGGTACAGGTACACATAAGTATAATTATCATACATTATAATTTGTTTAAATTACACATGATAGCCCCATAAAGTCAAAGTGACTTTTTTTCCTGCAAAATAATTGATCTCCAATATTTTATTTTTATCCTTTTGTGTAAAAACTGTTAGGAAACAAGTGTTAAAAATAGTACAATTCGTTGTTACCAAGAGTAAGGTGACCTGAGTTACATTTTAAGTGGGCTTATCTTTTTCCCTAATCTTATTTGTAGTTGTCATACCTTACCATTTCCTTTTAAAATTTGCTTTATCTATAGCATTACTATATGCTAAAGATAAACGTGGCATACACATCTGACTAAATAAGATACACACAAGAAAGAGACCCCAGTGGCCTGGCTGGCAAAGCTCTCGCTTTACATGCCAAGGGGCCTGGGTTTGATTCCAGGCATAGTGGAAACATTTTGATGCATTTCCTTACACTTGTTGTCCTGTTCACCTATCAAGTAGGTACTTGGGTGTTAGTCGACTGGTGTGGGTCGCATCCTGGGGGACAAGTTTGAGGACTACAACAGAAATAAGACAGACAGTCCCTCGACGGCGCATTGCCTTTCCTGGGTTATCCTAGGTGGCTAACCTTCCAGGGTTAAAAATCCGAACAAAATCTTATCTTAATCAAATCCTGGTGAGCACAATGTTTCTAAGGCCCCCAATGTCACTTTGATTTTTTTGGGTTATCCTAGGTTATTTACACATATGTTACTACGTATGATAACTGTACGTATGATAAGTGTACCTGTGCCTAGATAAACTTACTTGGCTTGAGTTATCCCAGGTTAACTGTTAGCCACGTAACAGTGTGTCTAGGATAATAACATTTGTTAACACTACAGTCACTACCTGGAACATCACTCCTTAACAACAGTGGTGAAATGAAGAAGAATCAGGGGTTCACTTACTGAAGATAAGAGCAGCTCCTGGCCCCTCAGGAGGTACTCCTCCAGCCTCCTCTGCTCCTCTGCTGCGTAAACAAAAGTCAGCTGGAGAGGAAACAAGCCACGCGTTCATTGCGCATTGCTGTACAAAAGTAGATTTTATTTAAATAAAAAATCCGTATTTCTATAAGTGGAGCACAGTATATTATACAATTAAGGTGATTGACATATATAACTATTTTATATAAATAACTTTTATTATGCAAAGCATTTAGGGCAACCTTAAAACTAAATTATAAAAACAAGTATAAGACACTAAATATACATAAGTTTTTAAAATATTGCAGGTATTTAGTAATTTAATAAAAAAATATAATTATTGATATTTTAAGGACGAAGCTAAATATATATGTTGAAGGAATAATAGAGAAGAACAGGGACAATACAGGATGAAAGATTTGCTCAGCATAATTAATTGCTGTTAGGATTACATCAGGAAGGTGTTTTTGAACAATATCTTTGAAGTGGCAGGCAGATAGAGAATGAAGTTTTCAGACAGAGAGTTCCAGGTTTTAGATACTTTTATGCACATTGAATTTTTACAGAGATTAAACTGTTTGGTTTAACATCTTTATCATGCATCTTAAAATAATGATTCCTAACTAGTCACAAGTTTACCTGTGATACTCCAATATAGAAACTATGTATTGTGCCAAAACAAAAGCATTTACATTGCTAAACTTACAAACCAGTATTTAGTCACTTAGTGTTTAGTCAACTTACTCCACAATTTGTAATAATTTAGGGTTAAGAATTAATCTAAGTTTGCCCGAAATGCCTAGCCATGCTAGGTGCTCTAGTGCATCCCTCTGTAATTAGTATTTTATTACCTGTAAACCACACAATAACCAAAATCTGTAAACCCCGCATTGTAATCCGTATAGAGAATAAACTTTGATTTGATTTGATATGACATACCCATCCCGTAGGTCAAGCCAAGCGCGGGAAAAAACATAACAGATTTTTGTGTCTAGTATATTGCCTACGAGTTCTACCAAGAGTTTCAGGGTAGGATTAACACTAGAATTTATTGTACTATATATGTAATATGCACAGTAGAATGTATGACTTTTATATATATTAAGTAGGTTTAGATCTTTGAAGAGGCAGGGAATGTGTGGCCTGGCACTAGACTGTGTGATCTTTCCTACAGCTGCTTTTTATTGTCTTATTATTGGCTTAAGGTGATTTACTGTAGTGGATTCCCAGGTGCAAATATCACAGGTGAAGGATAGATTAGAGAGTAGTATAATGTAAGTAGTGCTGTTTGAGGTACATAATGTATTTTGGAGAAGATGCCAACTGACCTGGATATTTTATTTGTAATGTGTTCAGTGTGGGGTGTTGAATTTCAGATTATCATACATAGTGTAAATTACCTAAGATAACCCAAAAAAGTCAAAGCGACTTATTTTCACTGGGGTCTTTGACGATCTTGTGCTCTTGATAGAGACATATTGATGTCTCTTGGTTTGGTAGAACTATGTATGAAAGTGCATGACCTCTAATACCTTAACCTAGAGAATTAGTAAATCAGAGGATTATTAACCTAGGATAACCCAATAAAGTCGTGTTTTTATCAGACTGGCTTTTTTTTTTTTTTTACACTGGATGGGCCCATCAAATTCGGCTCCACCCCCAGGATGCGATCCACAAGGACTCCAATGGAAATACAAATACAAATTCTTATTTCTATATGTGTTACAAAATAATGTGGTTTACATGTAATAAAACATTGGTAAGCACAAAAGAAAGTTGCTAGTATGCAATGCATTTCGGGCAAACTACATATATGTATTCCTAATGCTTAAATACTACATACATACATTAGACCTTAGTGCAATTACAAGTGAGAGTCTTGTGCTATTTTTAATTTGTATTTTTATATTATTAGTTTATACCTAGTTGTACTTTAGCTCATTCCAGCACAACACATAGACAACACCAACTCCATTATGTGTATTAGTGACTATACTCTACATGACCAAAATGCTATAGCTATATACTTGTCCAAACTTCCCACAACTACAGATATCAGTACTAAAACTCAACCCACAACTCAGGATATAAATAACCATAATTTAAACCTAGAAGATGATTGATCACGTTGACCCTGATCTAAACCTCCATAATCTGACACACAATCAAAACCTATTGGAAAGTAACTGCCTTTACTACACAGCATCACAAGCCAGCACTATCCTAAACAATGCTAAAAGTCTATCAGTACTTAACTGCAACATCAGGTCATTAAGCAAACACTATGATGACCTCCTAGCACTCCTTAATCAAAAAAGCCCCCTTCTCCTCTTATTCTTATGAGATGGCTTAAGAGGACATAAAGATATTCCCCTTCCAGGATACACAGCAATCCAAAACTGCAGACCATACCAAGTGGGGGTGGTATTGCAGTCTATTACTCAAACCCAATTTATCTTGTATTAGCCCCATTTGCTTGGATAAATATGGAATACATTTTGTAATTTTACTTTTAAAAAACCTTAAACCCCTATAACAATCGGTGCCTTTTTACCGGTACCCACACAAACACCCAAAATTTTCAGTGAGAAACAAAAGGCACAATAAAAAACAGACAAATGAAAAACACCCCTTCTTTTAGCTGGGGGACTTAAACCCAAAACCCTTGGGGCCTACTAATGATCAGCCTGTAATGATTTCATCAAATATGAACAACACACTTCTCATCCCAACAATAACTAAACCAACCGGCTCACTGAGAAAAGGAAACCATAATAGACCACAATGGACCAAAATACTACCCCCCCTTAAAACAGGATAATCACAATTTTGCACTACGACCACTACCCTACCTTCCTCTTACAACATAGTAAACCCCCACTTGAAAACAACAAAATTTCTTTTTGACTCCATGAGAGGCCTCAATAAGGAAGTTCACAGTGACCTAGAGCTGTTGACTGGCCCACAGAATTTCCCAAAGGGCCCAATGGTATGAATGGCGACATTTTTTTTTAACAAATTACTTAGACAACAACAAACATTGTCCCATAAAAAAAGAAACAGATCACAAAAAAACGGGTTGGTTGCCCCTGGCTAAACCCGACCATTTTGAAACCATTTATAAGAAACACCAAAAAAGAAAAACAATATAACAGGGGGTTAAAACCAAGATATTCTTAAAAAACTATTACAGTCCCACCAAAGTAATAAAGAAAGCCGAACAACTATACTACTCCGTAGTTCCATGACAAAGAGGGATATAAAAAAAACCTGGAAAACACTCTCTCAGATTTTAGGGACCCAAAAACTGAAAAAAACAAGAATATTGCCCTAACTAAACCTAATGAAACACCACTGCATCCCACTGACACAGCTAACAAGATAAACGACTTCTTCTCAACCATAGGATCTAATCTCGCCAATAAAATCCCACGCACCAATGCCCATGCCGGGGACTACCTAGACGGGAATTTCCCAAAATTCTTCTATCTTGCTCCAACTGAGCCCATGGAAGTCACCGAGATTATAAAGTCACTTAAAAATAACTCAGGGAATCTGTCTCATGTCCCACCATTATTGTACAAGAGAGCGGCCATGTCCTCTCGCATGCTATCTCATATTTTTAACAAGTCACTAGAAACTAGCACCTTCCCGAAACTACTCAAGACGGCAAGGGTTACACCAATACATAAAGGTGGTGACCCTACAGATTTAAACAACTATAGGCCAATATCAAACTTACCATTGCTATCCAAAATCTTTGAGAAACTTGTGCACAGGAGACTATATTCATTTTAAACGGCACAAAACATACTCAACCCCTGCAAATTTGGATTCAGGAAAAATAAAAGCACTAACGATGCAATCATAAAAATGCTAGATCTGCTTTACACAGCATTGGAAAATAAGGAATATCCACTAGGAATTTTTATTGACCTAAGAAAAGCTTTTGACACAGTAGACCACAGCATCCTACTCCACAGACTTGACCATTATGGTATAAGAGGCCATGCGCTTGCATATTTCAAATCTTACCTTACTAATAGGTATCAGTATGTCACCATTCAAGACACAGCATCAACAACACAGCCACTTGATACTGGAGTTCCGCAGGGAAGTGTCCTTGGTCCCCTGCTCTTCCTCATATACATCAATGATCTTCCAAACGTATCTCAACACCTGAACCCCATTCTCTTTGCTGACGACACGACTTATGTCATCTCTCGCCCTAATCTTGCCACCCTCAACACCATTGTTAATGAGGAGCTGATCAAAATATCGACTTGGATGACAGCCAATAAACTTACGCTTAACACTGACAAAACCTACTACATTATGTTTGGTATCAGAGCAGGAGATGCGCAAATTAGCATTAAGATCGACAGCACTAATTGCCAGGCATAATGAGGGCAAATTTCTAGGCCTATACCTCGACAATAACCTGAACTTAAGCACCCATATCCAACACATAACCAAAAAAGTATCCAAAACGGTTGGGATCCTCTCCAAGATACGATACTACGTGCCGCAAACTGCCCTTCTCACACTATACCATTCACTTATATATCCATACCTCACCTATGCTATATGTGCTTGGGGTTCAACTGCAGCAACACACCTAAAGCCAATAATAACCCAACAAAAAGCCGCAGTAAGAATAATCACTAAATCCCATCCCTGGCAACACACCCCCCACTCTTCATAGATCTAAACTTACTCCCTGTTCAGTACATCCACGCTTACTACTGTGCAATCTACATCTACAGGACCTTAAATTCCAATATTAACCTTGACCTAAAACGGTTTCTTGATAGTTGCGACAGAACCCACAGGCACAATACCAGACACAAACATCTCTATGACATTCCCCGTGTCCGACTAAACCTTTACAAAAATTCAATGTATGTCAAAGGCCCTAAAATCTGGAACACCCTACCTGAAAATTCTAAAACTGCAGACACATTCATCACCTTCAAAACTACCATCAGAAAACATCTTATCTCCCTGATACACCTGTCAACTAATTTACACGAATACCACCTGGTGGTTAACACTTACACTCACTCACCCATTTGACCATAAACAGAAT